GTTTTTCCCTTTTTTTGTGTACTCACAGTACCGATGAACGTCGAAGGGGATCAATAGCAGCAAACTAAAAATGAAAAAAGCACAAAAAAGATAAGAACCTGTTTATAGCTTCATCTAAAATAAGTAATAATTTTGCAAAAATTGGAATCATTTATTGGTAATGTAAGAGAATACTTACACTGATCCACCAACAACGGCGCCAGATGCCCATCCTACGAGCTGCGGCATTCAACTGCTTCATTAAAATAAGCTGTCACCTAGAATAAAAAAGAAAAAAATACGTTAATATTAATTAAAGAGAGTGGTAATAAATTTTCATTTTTTATTTTAAACAAATAAAATTTACAATAAAAAATAATAAATAAATAATTGAACAGTCAATAGTAAATAATTGGACATGAAGCAATAAACAATATTAATAAATAAATAATTGATAACTAATAGTTAATACGAATAATTAATTAATAATTAATATTAAATACTAATTAACTATAATTATTGAAACGAAATCAAAAGGAACCTACCCAAATAAAACGGTAACAGCACCCAAAAGTTGTCCGCTTCCTCGATACACTGACTCTAATTGCGCGTTAACGGTCAATTTCATTTATCAGAAAAAAATTAATAAATAAAAAGTAACTATATTTATCGCGACCGAGAATAATTTCCGGCGAACTAATGTGACTCTAATATGGCGGATATAAAAGCTAAGAGCCACGATGCTCTGGAAACAACTTGTCATACATCGCGAAAAAACACTGACTCTACTTCCGAATGCCCTACACCAGTAACATAGTCGGGAAATTATTGAGAGCCACTGTGCTCCATATATGTATATTTACAACATAATATATCTACGTAGCAACACTGACTCTACTGACTACACTTCGTGTAGTCTCAAATCCCTGTAAAAAGACGGTTAGAAGTGGGCTGATAATGGGGGGAGATTGGCTTGGTAACAATGGGGGCGGGGGAGGGGGCTCGGGCGTCGGCTGAAGTATTGCTCGATATTTAAAAAATTTGCAATTATTAATGTTATTTTATTTATACGTGCTTCGATGCGCGTATCAAATGCAGGAAAATTTAAATAATAATATTTGCAGCCGAAATCGTTGATAAATTTAATCGTTTATAAACAATTGCAAGTTGAAATTATTGAATTAGAGATAAGTTCGCGACCGAAATACAGTAAAGTGCAAATAAATTTAATTTCAATGTCTGAAGAAAATGAAAGCAATATAAGAAACAAATGAATAAATAAATAACCAAATGTCACCCAAATGTGATACAAGTCGATCAAATTTCCTCGAGGCATCTAATGGCGTTGTTACGTAACGGCTTTGCACTCGCCATGAATGTCGATCAGATTTCTGAAACAGACAAAACGGCATAAATTATATTAATTCTGTTAAAATAATAATGATACTCGCATTACAAATCACTACCAAGTTAAATTCGATTGAAGAATTTAGTAATTAACACCGAAATCGAATTATTTGACTAAATTGTAAATTGAAGCAAACCGATAAATTTGAACTGATGGACGCCATGTGGCCGTTATCCTTTTACGCAGTTACTGAATCTCGAATTTCGCGAAAAATATTAGACAAAATCAAATGTATGTAAGAAAAAGTATTAAAACAAAAAGAAAGCAATGTAAATGTTAATAAACTACGATTGAAAAACTCGAATAAAACGGCGAAAAGAGAATAACCGATAGACGCCAAAAGATACATGAAATAAATTTTTTGAAAATAATAGTACTCGAATTAAAATAATTATCACATAAAATTCTATTCAAAAATTTATTTATTAACACCGAAATCGAATTATTTAGCTGAATTGTATTGAAGCAAATCAGAAAATTTCAACTGATGCCCATATGGCCGTTATCCTTTCACGCAATTACTAAATCACGAATTTCGCGAAAAATATTTGACAAAATCAAAAATGTGTAAGAAAAAGTGTTAAAATAAAAAGAAAGGAATATAAATATTACCAAACGACGGTTGAAAAGCTCAGGATGCGACAGCAAGAGGAGGATGCCGGATAGACGCCACAAAAAATTTCAAGTATGGAGAACAATTACTTCACGTAAGCTCAAAACACGTCCTACCCTTCCAGTTTTCCAGAAAAGAATGACGCCGGTCGCGTCTTGGACCGGTAACGAAGCGTCGGAGTGGGGGAAGGCCCAGGCTTCTGCGCACGCGTAAAAATCGCGATATATTACGTCACGTCAAAATAAATTAACAATTTTTAATTTTCTGAAGATAATACTTTGTTTTTAAACGATTTGTTAATTGCACACATATAGAATTATTTTATAGCAAAATACTGAAATCAACTTGTCATTACATTTGATACGGTTCTAACTAATTAAAGTGGCGGGATTAAAAAATTCCAGAACATTCTAGAACAATTCATGTATTGAATGTCGCCACTCGATTATCGTGACAAGTGTAGCAATCTATCTTCTTGCTCTTATTCATTTTCCCTAGAGACAAACATGGGTACCACTAAACAAAATTACAACTACTGGCGTGACCCCTAAGATCAAGAAAGAAAACAGCGATCATATACCCTAGTATTGTTTCCTACACATAGCTGCAGCTAAAGAAAGAGGACTTCCATCATCTAACGTGGGATGCATTGAGTTATTGACAGTTAAATTGAAAGAAAATGACATGGATCATCGAGGGATGATTTCCTTTACTTAGGTTTCAATCTCAAACAAGAGGACACGTAGCATGGGAGATCGGTACATGTTACGATCGTTAGCATTCCGATGATTAATAGGTTATGACAAGCGGGTAAGTTGATCAAACTTGGTTAGGCCCGGTTTTCTTTAACGTAATTTCTCTTAAACTTAATATTACACCTATAAAACCGCGTTTCACTTACCTGTTTGGTTCTGCAATCGCAGTAAACTCAGGTGCCTTGATCCGGCTAATCCGTATTATCTTTGACAGGCTATCCTCTGTGAAGGATCATACCTAGCTAACGGTTGTAGATTTAGAATTTAATCCCATTACACTAAACACTTTGAAATGAGATCTTAGCTATCACGGTTGGACTGTGTTTCTTTGTAAGGTAGAAGATCTAGGATTAGTCTTTTGACATTTGACATACACTTTTGACTTCGCAGGCTTGTGTAGTTCAGCAGCTAACCGTTCTACAGCTAGTGCAATACATCGATATGTCAAAGTACCAGATCGAAAAATATACTTTATCGTCAACGAGGGATAGGATGATCAGTTGGATGACCAGTGAATGATCATAGGATGATGATTTAGGTCTGAAAATCTTATTGGAAAAATGTCTATGTGGATTTCGTGTTTACATCACGATGCTATTAATTGTAGCGGCTTTAGCATTTTTCCACAGATGGCGCCACTATTTTAAAGCCCCAATTTTGCAAGTTAAGCGAACCATTCCTATCAGAATATCTTTTACTTTACTGTGCAATTACATCTTGTTTTTAATTTATTGATTACATAGGTGCGATTTTCAGAAAACTCCTAATGTCGTCATGGCACATATCCGGTTACTCGAAATTATTCATCATTTCAATATGCATTGGGATGCATCCTTCAGGTGGATCATCATCTTCAGCTGCTCAACCCTAGAACGTCTACCAACACTTTCTGCTAAACCTTTATCTCCCGTCTGAGAAGTATTCGCTTGAACTTCTTTGGAAAGTTTATTCTCTTTTGTTTGCAATCCTAGCTGCGAATAGACCTGCTGAACCGTCGCAGGAACGACGTCCTGCGGTCGAATTCCGTCTGGACAATTAACCGGTTGCTTCCATTGCTTCGGCGGTCTCAATTCGTCATACGGAATCCTATACTGCTGTGTCAGATACTTGTCTCCTAATGGATCACCTACTTTTTCATGAGCTTCATCAATGGCTTTCTAAAAACGAATGCATATCTTTTGCATAATCTTTTAAATTACGGTTTCTTAAAAGTTGAAACTGTCCGGACAAGATTATTTTATAAATATAAAATATAAAAGAATCAGGTACTTTTAACATTCATAATATTTTTCATAGCGTTGAATGTTGAGTAGCAACATTCACAACTAAATCTTACTTCCTCATAACCTTTGTTAATCATCTTGCAGATAACCGCTTTCGGTAGCTTGAACTGAGGTGGTGGTGTCGGTTGCGGTTCCAGGCAGCTACCTCGACATGTTTTCAGCAATTCGGTGTACAAGAAAACGTCCCCGGCGGTTTCCTGGTACCGTGGGTCGAGGAGTCTGGGATCCACTTGCCGCTGCTGCTTTCTTTGGTAATTAGCGATCCGACAAGTGCAAGGATCTGGCCAGGACCTTTTGGGATCTGGTCCAAACAACTCTTCCCACAAAGTCAATTTCACTTCGACGGGTTTCTCTTTCAGGCAATTACTCGGCTTTTCTTTCATGAACATCTTCTTGAAACGTAAAAACTTTCTCCTTCGTTTTTTCCCCGGTTTTCCGCAACCATTCTCGAGACACTTGGATGGACATCCTTTGCAGGGTTCTATTCGTAATGAATCCATATTCACGTTCTCATGCTCAAGGGATTGTTTCTGTGACTTGGACCAAAAGTTTCGAATATTTTCCTTAACTGTTGATGTCAATGAGGATCTTCTTAGCAACGAAGAGTTATTTACGTTCTACTGGGAAAGTATACGTTTATTAAAAGTATTTGCTTTTATTTATTAGGAGAACATTTTCATTAACATTAACTGATTCATTAATCTTTTTGTAGATGTTCTAAGTAACGAATGCGTCATTGGAAATGGACACTGAGGATTAACAGGATTAACAAACCAAGTTCATTGTAAATTCTCGCAAAGGTGAAAACCTGTAGTCAATTAATTCCAGGTTGATAACCTATTGTCCATTTTATTTGACAGCGTCAGATTTGGAAACAAACTACAAATGAATATTGTACACACCTGTTTCGAGATTATACTAGAAATTTGGAATCTGGGCCGGAAAGTAGCCATGACGAAGAAAATTGTGTGGACGAACGTCCTTTTGCGTTCGTGCGCCTGACGGTTACATAGGTAATTTAGGTTTAAAGAGCGAAACAAAAAAGCATTGCCTCTTGCATTTTCGATAATTTTCGATCAAAAAGTCGAAGGAGTTTATTACAATTTATTATTTTACAGCGATCGTCGAGCGGAGAGTGAAAAATGGTTGGATATATTTTAATGATAAAATGGCGTCGACAGTGTCGACTCGAGAGCGCGCGATTTACCCGAGTCCCCGCTAATGCCGATTCGGTTTCCTTTGATCGTCGAGCGCTTCCGGTGGCTGTGCAAACCCCGGAGCAAACCCCACCGAACCGCCCTCACCACCGCCATCCCCTTTCGGCGTCCCGTTAATTCCTGGGGAACACCGGAATTACTGATACTGCCTCTGCAAACGAGACGAGATGAAGCTGGAAACGTCGATGCAGTCAATATCGCGCGCTTCCAGCTACGCGGACGATAGAAAACAGGGTGGCGAAGGGAGATACAGGTGAAGAGACGATAGGAGGGAGAGGGAAGGGCCCGGCGATGGTTCGAAGCAGATGCAATGAGGGATTTCGAAGCGTTTGCGAGCCGGTGCAGATTGATTTGGCTCGCCTAAACTGACGTTTCGCTACAGTATCTCTCATAACTGGTAATTGTAATCCTTCGATATATTGGCAGATCATTAGGGGGCGATACCAGATCGACGGACAATTTTATTCCACTTCAATACGTTTTTTCGTTCGTAAACCCGGGTAAGAATTTTATTCAACAAAGTAACATTCTAAATTGATCGAACTTTGATTTACAATATTGCATTATATAGTTACAATCTTCTATAACGTTTTCATTACAGGTGGGCAATTATTTACTGACACTGACTCTAAGCTTTAAAGCTAGAATAGCGTTTCGAGTGCTTAGAAAGAAAGAGTAGTAGGATAGAAGCGATTGCAGCAGCTGTCGGTGATATGGTTTACCTATACTACTAAAACGTCTCCGGTAAGTAACTGGTGCTATCCTATTCGAAGAGAAACATCCAATTCCACGGTCCCTGAAACATAAAAGCACGTTCCTCGCATTCAACAAAATCATTCAATGATAAAAAATATCTTAAAAATCCCGCTTCACCCCCTCCAATCTCTCAGAGCAACACTCAAACCCTATTAAAAGAAAAACTGCATTCGTTTCAGACGCAAGAAAACTCATGACAGTTCTTCGCACGAGAAAAATATCGGCCATTAAAATTTACAAACCTACCCGTCTCGCAAGACCGTTCACAGTTACATTAAAACGTCTCAGGAATTGTCTGTGCGAAGCAACTACCCGGCAGAATCACCGTACCTGAACGACACTGTACATGTCGCCCGTTCAGCGACATCCCCTCCATTCTCTGCCCCTTATCCTCGTGTCCGGGGCTAGGTATGTATCCCCTACCCCCGGATTTTCCGGCGGCGAGTCGCGGTGAGGAAGGGTGTTTACTCAAGACACGACAATTCATTACGTAATTGAATTGAATGAGGCCTCACTCCTCCGGCTGTTTCCCCGGCGAGTATCTCCGCGGTAGTCTCTCCCTCTTCCCCTCTCCTATTCCGGTCGTTTACTCTCTCTCTCTCTAACCTTCTGAGTGGTTAGCCTAGCACGTGTAGAAACGTTGGTTGCGCGTGTGCGCACCCATCTCTGGCCCTCGAATGGGAAAACCATCCCCCGTCGTCCACCACACCCAACGCGACTCGTCACATACACGTGCACACATACAATCTTTCCCTCTCTGTCTCTCTCACGCATACACGCACACAGACAGACTACTCTTTCTCTCGCCCTCCATTTCAAACCCTCTCTCTTTCTCTCTCTTTCTCGCCACTGTACAGAGGCTCGTGTCTGGCTCGATGCGTTCTCTCGGTGGGGTACTACCGAATTAAACGATTAGTTAAACTGATTTCGAGTTAGGCGAATGAATAAGTAATCGGATTTCTCGTTAAGGTAATCGCATTGCGCCCTGATTGGCTCCGTCTGCCTGCGTTATAGACTGTTTCCCCCTACCGTTTTCGATGCTCGATGT